TTCTTGTTTCTGCTGCAGTTGTTGCTGAAGTGCGGCAACTTGACCCTTGAGGGGGGCCAAATCAGCGATGCCAGCTCTGAGGGCAGCAATTTCCGTCATCAGAATGCCTGGCTTCGGACTTTCCTTCCGCTTTGGCTCCTCCACATCAACTTCCTGTACTGCTGTGAATCTGGCCTGATTGAGCTTGGCCCGCCTCTCATTTTCCAGACTAGAGAAAACATTCATTTTCTCAAACAAGACCTCATCTGATGTCTCAGGGTCATCAAGATAGGGGCGGAGCTCTGTTTTAATGGCCTCGCTACGTAGACCGGTTAGTAGGGTGTGACGAAACATCTCCCGGACTAACTGCGGCTCGTAGCGCAGTTTCGACTCGACTTCTTGGCTGGCGAAGATCACCTTCTGTCGAATGTTGAATGCTCGGAGTAGAAACGCCTGTGGCGTCTCCTTCGCACCTTGTGTGAGCTGGGATAACTCCTTGAACAATTCGGTTGCCTCCCGTTCCTGGTAGTGAGAACGAATGATTCGTCTCAGGCTTGGGAGTGAGATCTTGTTTCTTCCCTCAAGGTAGCCACGGAGTTCGGACCCTGGAACAATGGCGCGAATGACGGCATGCACAATGTCCCTGTCCGAATAGCCTTTCTCTCGCCCTGTTTCAATCTGGTTTGCGAGGCTAGCGAAAGTCAGGCGATCCTTTTGGCCTGGTTCCCCGATTTGTCCCGAGATTTTGAATTCCCGCCGGATCAAACTCACAATGTCGGTGTTCACTTCGGGCTTGTCTACCGGTGTTGTCGTTTCGGCTTCGGCTGACTCCATCTTTGACGATTTTGATGTCGAAGCTGATGGGGCTGTGGTGGGCGGTTCAGGGGGCATCAGTCCCTCGATGAACTTCTCCAGCTCTTGTAGAATTTCCAGACCACCATCTTCCTGGTCCTGGATGTCATCACTATTGAGATGGCTGATCACTTTCCGGGCTAGTCGGAGGCGGCCGTTCGTCTGTGCCGCTGCATCTCCAACATCCACTTTGAGTTGCTGGCACACCAGGAGGAGTTGCTCAACAGAAAGACTGCCGAGGCAGGTGGTCAGCCGTCCAACAATTTCGAGCGTTTCCATCTTGGGATATTGGACAGCACGGATGAGTTGATGACGTCACTGGAGTTGCAGTTCCTGTTCAATAGTGCAAGGCGATCCAGGTAAGGCGATCCCTCTCCTCTCTTCAGTGCTGCACACGCTCAGTCGACTCGTCTTCCCACCAGCTGTCTATGTCCCTCCCGGTTACTGGCTCATCATCAAACAGCCGCAGCTAGGGTAGAACCCGTATTGTTGGATAGACGCATGTTGTCCGGTTGAACGCAAAGGGTGGCACCGGACACGTCTATCCCTCTCGTGCCTCC